CTTTTCTTCTAAGCAAATGCAAAAAAGATTTTAAAATAAAATATTGTGCTTTACCGCGTGTTTTTCATTTTACTTGTAATACCGAGCAATTCTCCCTATAAATCAATGTTACAAGGTAGCTGGTACTGCACATGGATAGCCAATTTCAAAAAAAGAATTTTACGGAAGCGTTCCCCTGTGAGGAATAAGATCGTATGCCTCACATTCTGTTAAATTATACTGGCTCTCTTCAGACCGAAACAATGCAGTGCAAACATTTTTTTTTTGGCGGCATTTCTGCCTTACAGATTTTATCGCGCATGTTAACTTATTTCAAATTCCTGATGTTTCGAGTACTTTACAGCACCCATGGTCACGTGGGGGACTGAGGTGTTTGACGTCTCAATGTCATAGTTATCCACGGCTATCTCTAGATTGAAATGATTAGTTTTTATTCCGATCTACGCGGTATGAACTTATAGTATCTTGAAGTCTTGCAGTTGTGTGCTTGGGTTGGGATTTAATTTTATTATTTATAGGATCTTAAGCAGATGGTAGCACTCAGCCATTTTTCTATTGAAATCAGGATGTTTCTGATGACTCGCGAAGATGGGAGCCTTAACTAATTTAATATACGCGATAAAATCCGTAAAACTTAGTTTCAAATGCATATCTACCGCCAAAAAAGCGGTGCCTTTTAGCTGTTATTTTTGGCGGCAGAAATGCAGTTAAATATCAGGTGAAAATGCTACCTACCTAGAAGGCCTCCTAGCCAGAAAAGAATTAAAGTCAGATCAATCGGATGCATAGTCACCCCTAGGTATAGTAAGATGTATATATCACAGTCGTTTAAAAACACCAAAAACTTTTTCAACAACACATGGACGGTAAAAGTCCGAAAAGAACTGTATCCGTGACTAGTCATCACCGCTTTTGATAAGAGGGTTAGTTTCTTCTCGCTCAAAGGCTATACTATAGATTATTAAACGAATAATTAAAAGGTAAATTTTAACTCTTATTGCTTTAAGCACAATTTTGGACAACCCTAGCAACTACTTTAAAATCAACCTCATTGTTAGCAGATAACTCGCTTCAGTATTTTATTCCACGGTTCGACTTTCTAATTGATCGCTTTATTTAGTTAAATCTAATATAAAGTGAAATATAAATAGCTTAACCATGAATATTTTTCAATAAAATTCTATTTACGGATTTTATCGCGTTTAATTAACTATTTATACATAATTTTTAATTTCCGACGTTTCGGGTGCTTTACAGAACCCAAGGTCGCCGGGGGCGGGGAGTCTGAGATGTCTTACGTCCCAATGTCATAGTTCGCTCGGCTACCTTCAGTTTTTGAATATTAAACTTTGGTCCGATCTTTTGTTTTTTGTCGAGTTCGCGTAAATTTAAGAAATCATAACGTTTTTCAATACATGGGTGATAAATTTTTTTTTCATAAAATCAAAAATCTCAATGATATACAAAATTTTATTGCCATAGTATATGACTATATTGTTCAGCAACAAAATATCAATGCAGTTAAGCAGTTTAGTAACTAGATGACCGAGCTTTGCTCGGTTTTAATTTAAAAAATTTAAGCAATTAGATTAATTAAAATTTTCGTATTTTTAAAAAAATACTAAAAAAGGGCCCGAAATAATAGACTTTCTCACAAAAGAAGGGAACTTGAAAAAAAAGGAAAAAAATCGGACCGAAGACAGGACGCGAACCAAGGCACTACGATTTCACGACCGCTCGATATCCGCTCGATTTACCTTCTTATATTGTAGCAGTTTTCCATTGCCTGAAAAGACTTTCTCCACGGACAAAAAGACTTTCTCCAAAAAATAAATTCTAGCTAGATCGATTTATTGCCCCCCGAAATTCCCTGGACACAAATTTTTTATGAAAATCATTGGAGCCGTTCCCGAGATTCTGATTATATATACATATATATATATATATATATATATATATATATATATATATATATACAAGAATTGCTTGTTTAAAGGTATATGCAGTTAAGCAGTTTTTACATACACAGTTTACAATCGAATAATATCAATTAAACAAACATAGACAACACGCTATGATCATTAACTGTGATGATCGTGATGATTATTTATTTGATCCCGGCGATCCTGATCAGGATACTAGGATAAAGTTGTTAAATTATTGTGTGATCATTAGTCTTTGAAACGAGTGCAAATTTTCAAGTCAATCGGTCGTCTACAAGTTGGTGAAAATTACATTAAAAGATTCCGTGACATAGATAGATAGATACTCGCGATACACGATAGAAGCGAAGCTAATAAAAGCATGTATAAACAAGGTATTATTTTTATTATTAGCCCCAATTAGGCCACCCTTAGGGCGGATTCGACCAAAGTTAGTATAAGTCTTATCCTGCGAATAAAATCACTAATTACTCTAGAGTTAGAGAACTTTTCGTTTTACCAAATCTTAACCCAGGTACAACCGACTATCCAAGATTAAATCGCTATACTGCCAAAATTCATGGAGTAAACAAGTTATTCCAGAGTATTTTAATGGCGGCTGCTACATTTTGAGAGCTGTTTTCGTATGCTTTGTTGTAAAAGTAGGAAATTTTATCGTTGTGCATTTATAATTTCTTGTACTTTTGTGATAATGGTAGGGTATATTTTTTTTAATAATGCAACATTTACGAAATACGATAAGATTCTGACAGTGATGAAGAATACATTCCAAGGCGTCAACGATGGATAAGAGAAAGGAGCAATTATTTCGATAACTATGTGACCGTGACTTCATAATAAGGTTTCGATTGTCTAAAGAAGCTTCTTTGTGCCTTTTATCCAAAATCGAGCATCAACTGGAATATACATCAAACCGGTATGTACACACCTTTCATTATATATTTGTCTACATAAACAATGGTACACACCTACCTAGATATTTTTTTTCTAAAAGCTATATGTGTCGCTCAAAGACTTAAAACTAAAATATTATAGTAAGTAGTAGCAGTAGTAGTAATAAGTACCTTGTTATCAAAAGTTCGTTTTCTTTCAGAAATTTTTCAATATCTCCAGTAAATCAGTTGTTGGCCACTTTGAGATATTATGCAACAAACTGGACACAAACAAGCGTGGAGACTACTGTGATCTAAGTACACCGACAGCAAACAAAATTGTACACAGAGTTAGTGCTGCAATAGCTGCATTACATACAGAATACATAAAATTTCCTGAATCGCCTCAAGAAATAACAGATGAACAAGATAAATTTTACCAAATAGCTCGTTTTCCAAGAGTAGTTGGAGCCATGGACTGTACACACGTTCGCCTCACATTCGTACCCTAAAGACTGGAAGTAGGTGGAGAATAAGCAGAGACATTTAGAAACAGAAACGGATACTACTCCATTAATGTGCAAACAATATGTAATGCCAATTTATAAATAACCGACATAGTTGCAAGATGGCCAGGTTCAACTCATGACAGCACTATATTTAATAATAGCGATCGAAAAGCACATTTTGAGACTGATCGCTATGGTAATGCATTATTATTGGTGGACAGAGGATATGCTTCAAAGAGTTACGCTATGACTCCATTAGAAAATCCAAGGACACCAGCTGAACAACTGTACAATGAGTCACAAATTCGTACTAGAAATCCTATCGAAAGTTTCTATGGTGTATGGAAAAAAAGATTTCCAGTGTTAGCACTTGGGATGCGAGTAAAATTACATAAAGCACTAACTGCTATCATAGCCACAGCAGTACTTCACAATATGTTGCGCAGACGAGGAGAACAACTTCCACTTGATGACCCAGAAGTGCTATTGCCAGCACCATGGCATGAACTTATACAATCTACTGGCCGGTTAGCACGCAATTCGTTAATAAGTAATTATTTTTATAATTTATTGTAGTTATGGAATGTAGCCATTTAATTGCAGTGATACTTAATTTTATTAATACCAATTTTAAAAAAGGTAAAGTAGTATAAAATAAAACATTGAAATAAATAATATTTTATTGTTTATTGTTCAATTACTTTTTCTTTAATCTTAAATCTAATAATAAAATACGGGTCTTTAATTTTTAATTGTTTCCTTTTTATTTGTAAATCCAGATTGTGAACTTCATTTGAATGAAGTAATTCCTTCTCAGCAACACTGTTCTGGAAATCAATTGCTTCCATTTTCTTATCATGCAATTTTTGCAATGATGATGAAGGAGCTACATATGTAGGTCGCCTTTTTGAAACCCAAGATTTTCGTAATTTTCCTTCTTGCTCATTGTTGTCATATTGAAGAGGTTTTACAACAGGAGTTCTTAACTTTCCGAGAGTATAATCACTCCAATTCCAAAACAAAGATTTATATTAAAAATGTAAACAACATAATGCCAATATAATATTTCATCTCATAAAAAACATTTAAATGATAAAATTAAAAACAAGTCTACATTTCGTTCAGTTACATCTATATGCCTTTCAAAGTTTTCAGGATGTTGTTTTACAAATATGGATATTTCTTTAATGTACGAGCATGTTATTGTCAAGATATTGTACTTTTTAAACAAAGGCTTACAGCTATCCGTATACCCTTCTTCATAGATTGCATGCACACATTTTTTGTGCTCTAAATACTTTTATTATATCTACTGAATTGCCCCACAATAAAAGACCATATGATAGTACTGACGAAACATATCCGTGATATGCACATAGAGCAGCATCAGTTGATACCGTGACTCTTAATATTTGTATTGCGTAAACAAATCTGTCGAGTTTGTCACAAACGTAATCGACATGTGTTTTCCAGTCGCAATTTTGATCCAACATTATACCCAGAAATTTAGTACTTGCATTAATGTCAGTCTCAAGATCTGTAACCAACTTTTAAAGGTATAACAATTTTGTATGATTTCTCTAGGGTACTTGATTAAGCTGTAAGATAATAACCTTTATTAAATAATTCTGGCTCCTCAGGCAAAATAACTTGAGCCTCAGCAAAATTATGCCTCTCTAAGCTATCTGGGGCAACACTGTCACTGTCAAAATGGTTGAAAAACCCAATAGCACTTTTTTAATTAACGATATGATTTTGGAATCTAGAGGATCTTCTTTCTTTGGATTTGCTGGTCCTCCACCTAAAATAGTACAAAATGATTAAAGTAAAAGTATTTAAAATATGCCATTTCTCACATTTTCAAAATATTTCAACCATAAATAGTAATCCCGTCATGTAGGAGACGAAGGAAATAAATCACTTGATCAGGCCGCAGCACTGTACTATCAAGTGCTTAATAATAATTGGTACATTGAACACCTAAAGATCTTTGGGATAAGCATGTTCCCAGTAGTGGCAAACACTATATAAATGTATGTAGGCATATCTCAGTCCGCTGCTCCTCTGTCCTTATTTCTAATGTATACCAAAGATTTATAGGTTTTGCCTAAATAACTAGATCAACACAAACATTGATAAGGTAAGGCAGGATAAAAACTAACCTGTTTGGATTCTATGCATCCTCCTGTATGACTCCTCCTTTTTGGCTATTTTTTTCATATACTCCCACTCATTTTTTAAATTTTCTGCTGTACGCGAGCAGTGTGTCGTTTGGCTATTGTATTCGTGGGATAAAATTTGCCATTCGGCTAATTTTTGCTTCATCGTAACACCATCTGTTTTTTTTTTATTTTAGATGACACGAAAATGTTTTTCTACGAGTCCTAACAACAAACTCTTTTCCGAAGGTAACCAATTTGGGCTACGTTTTGTTTTTTCTCCAGACATTTTATTTGAAAATATAATAAATAAGGGTAAGGTTAGAATAATCAACTGAACACTCGCGTGTTAATATTTTAATGTTCAGTGACAGTGACAGTTGACACTATTATAATCCGGCAAACTTTAAATAGACAGAAAGTCTTGCATTGCGCTATATAAACAAATGTATTTCGATTTTAGTTGGCTTACATGTTCATTAATTTTTCATTCCCCAACTCTAGAGTAACAATACCCAGTATTGGCTACTATCCGTTTATGTTGGAAAAACGCAAACTAAATTATCCGAGAGTAAGACCAAGGAGTAAATTTATTCGAGGGTTAGTTACTCTGGAGTAACATTGAATTTGGTCGAATCCGCCCTTAGGGATTAAGGAATTCTCCATATTCATATAGTACCACCCCTAAGATATAAGCTATTGAATAAAAAGTTGTGGTCGTGGAATGAAAAGGGGAGATTTCCCGCTGGGCAAGGTATTCTGCCCGGGGAGCGGCCAACACTCCGTGTGATAGTTCGGAGATGTTCTATATATACTGTTTATGATTCGGAATTTTGTTAGCGTGATTTAGGCTTCGGTGTGTTTCGCTTGCGGCGTGACGACAGCGCCGCCACAAAGTCATTCAAATATCACGTAATAGCCCCCATAAAACAATAAATCTAAATAACAAATATAGTCATTCACATTCGAACTGAGATCTCCCCCTTATTTAAAGTCGGGTAAAATAAATCTAAATCAGAACAAGCCCTGAGTATAGCCACCTTAAAACAATAAATATAAAAAATGCTAAGTTCATAACCATAAAGCGCATATTCCTGCAAACATACCTATACATAAAACAACAACCTTTCATTTTCCTAAGTTCTAGCATCCGCCCTTTTCGCATTTAAATTACGGGGTTATTAAAAAAAACAAACACTAAAAATCACAATGAAGCAATCTCATTTGAGACCCACTCTGTTAGAACTGCAATGGTTACTACAACAATAAAACATTGGTCCTTCGAGCTGGATCAAATGCGGTATTCAAAATGGACGTCAACGCAAAGCTTCAGGTTTCAGACGCATTGTGTTCGATAGCGCGTGCTAAGATCGACCAATGAGAATGCATTGCTTTACTTCAACCCGATAGGCCAGTTTTGTCCACAGAGCGATTGTAATCAATTTCGCGGGCAATTTGTTCCGTCGCGTACGATACGACGGTTGATATTATATCCGTGCAATTACTATGTCGCTACTTAATTGTACTCGAGATAAAGTTGACACAATAAAGCTCTTGGATTACTTAAGTGAAATATTGGCCTTTCCCTATCAAACATGATTAATTTTTATTCTGTTTATAATATTTTTAATGGGAAAATATTATAGAGATAATAAATGAACGTTAGATAAATAAACGTTACAAATTACACACACATAAATATTGTAACGTAATATTACGTTACTATATTTATGTGTGTGTTTTTGGGAGTCTGTGGTAACGTTAAACAAATCAAATACAATTTTTAGTACCGTATCTGCCTGGAAGGATAAATAAAGATATCAATAAAAATAAATAGTGCTTTGACAGGTAACGCCAAGCATTAGAGTAATTAAAAAGAATACTTTAGTAAAATATTTTAATTAGAACTATTCAGTGCCCCGAGTTCGAACGTAAAGCTATAACGAGCTACTTGTATGGAACGCGTAACATGAATTAAAAACAACACCCATGTTAGGCCATTTTTTATTCTAAACACTTGTGTTAAGGTATATTTTAATTGTCGGCATATAACGCTTTAATTTATCGTACAGTAGCGAATGACCTCTTTCACACACTTTGCGCTCGGTAACGCTTAATTCATATTTCATCTAGCAATTATATCTGGCCATTTAAATGCCTCTAGGTAAAATTTAAACCCGTAATTTTAATAGTCTGTTATTCGGTTCATGTGCAACGGTGCTCTCATCGATTACGACTCATTAAAATTATAGTAATCGAGTTACATAAAATGTTCAATAGGATATTTTCGTATTCGCAAGATGTGCTAGTAAAATTAATTGTCAATTACTTATGCAGTTAATATTTAATGGAAAATTGTAATAACTAAATGATTTTATGTTAAGTTATAAGTAATTTTATGTTCTACTTATATGTTAGATGATGCAATTTTCCTGATAATATACTTACTAAAACTGTGACGTAAGTTGGTTTTCAATCGACAAGCTTTTAATACCACTATGATGAAAACAGGTAATGGAAGTTCAAACGTTCAAAACGTAAAACCTAATGGAGCTAATGGAAGTACACCTTCCACAATAACAGATCATCAGAGGAATACCAGCTAATTCATTACAAATTATAATTTTTATAAAGATGACGAACAAGCACACAGTCTACCTGAAGGGAAGTGAATTGTATATCTCTTCCCTTCAGGTAGGCTGTGTCTTGTATATGTTGTATTTTATACAAGTAGGAGTGAAAATTCTACCACTTGATAATAAATTTATGTTATGAGTATGAGTAGTATGAGTAGGTAAATTTCACAGTACGCGTCTAACCCGGGTTCCATCCCCGCCGGTACCAATGAATTAATTGCAATTTTAAGTGCTGATTTACCACGTGCTCGACGATAAAAGAAAACATCGTGAGGAAACCGACAAGTAAAGCGACAGTAGCCTAATGGCAGGGCGCGGACCGCAAACTCAAAAAGGTCGTGGGTTCGAATCCGCCATTCGACTACTGGCGTGAACCACTCGTAACACAAGCAATTTAAGCTTACCACGAGTGCTTAGGAGGAATTTAGTAATGTTTATAGCATTGTTAATATTCTCTTTTATAAAAAAATTAAAATAAAAAACCTGTGTGTCTGAGAAATAAGAAAAGAACTATTTCAAAGAGATGTGTACATTTCCTTGTCTCTGCTCTAAAATTCCTTTCATAAATGAGAGGAGACCTCTGCCCCTGTGGGACGTATATAGGCTGTAACTTTACTTTTTTATGAGCTTTAAATACCTACATCTATTAATGTTGTAGCAAGACTATAGTAGGCTAAAGTAGGCTAAACTAAACTTGTGTCGAAAATTGTGTAATAAGTACAACTTTTTACGTAAATATTAGCAATTAAAAAACCCACAACATTTAATTCTAAAGTTATACGAGTATTATTTTGTCATGGCTCTATCACGATTTCAAGTTATAAAACACTTGAAGAAACTTTTTATCACAAGTGTTATCTCCCGTATGGTCTAGTGGCTAGGATACCTGGCTTTCACCCAGGAGGCTCGGGTTCGATTCCCGGTACGGGAAAATACTTTATGCTAGTTTATAATAACTAAAGATCAACATCAATTACAATTACAATTTTATTTTTATCTTTTATTTGAAATGAATGTTTATTTAAATTTTTTGATGTGACAATGAAAAAATTTAGTTTTTTATATTTTTCAAAACAATCAGTGACAAACTATAAAAAAAATACTTCCAAAAATGTTTAAATAACATTTTAGATCCAGACTTATTAAATTTATAATTTTATCATAATTAAATCAACTAAAATCTAAAAAGAAAAAAAATATTCTGACACTACACTATCAACAATCGACGTGGGTCAACGACTTCAAGTCGCACGTCGTTTTTCAACGCTAATGTGGAATCATGTCGCGACTATGTTGTGGTCGCCGTGTCGCGTCCGCTAATGAGCTGCGCATGTCGCGGACGGCGTGACGTCACGCGACACGCGCTCAATTACAAGCCGTCCCGCGCTTTACCACCGAGGTGTGTAAGGACCCTAATCGTCACGACTGTAAACAAAATTGATTAAAATCAGTTAAAATAATTGAATTAAACAAATTTTACGTATTTTATCTCGTTTTATTTAACATATTTTAGTTATTTTTAGTTCTCGATATTTCGGATACTACACAGCAAGAATCTTTAGACTCCCGACAAAACTCAAAAATCAGTGGCGAAGCTAGAGCTCCAAGCTAGGGCAAGCCCAAGTTATAAATTGATAAAAATATAGATTGTTGTTTTAGCAGTTTTATAAAAATACACCAATCTTGATCTGTCTCCACGCTTCAGTTTCATACTCAGTGCTGTCCAGGATTCGTCACCTGATAAAATGTTGCGTTTAATCTTTCGAGAGTTCTGACGCACCAAGTAACGCGAGCCGCTTTTTGCTCTTCACAGAGCGAATGCGGTATCCATCGGGAAAACAACTTTTTTGCACCTAATTGTTCATGCAAGATTATTTGTATTTGACTCATGTAAATGTCTAAAGTTGCATGAACTTCACGGTATGTCACATGTCGATCTTCCTCAATTAGTTTATGCACAGCATCAACGTTTTCATGGGTGACTGCAGTTTTTGGACGACCTTGACGGGGATCATCACTGAGCTTGACACGTCCACGTTGAAATTCAACAAACCAGCGATAAATTGTGGTTTTGAATGGGACTTCATCACCAAATGCAGAAATCATCCAGTCAACACACTGTTTTGTGTTAAAGCACTTGAAAGTCATAATAAATCATCGCTCTTGAATTTTCTCGAGTCAATTCCATTTTCTCAACGACTAAACAAGTATAACAAAACCTTGTGACAAATCCGAGAATATTTTTTTAAATAAATAAATCGTATTCGATTTTTAAAACCAAGGAGTTTTCAATTAAAAGATTTTAATATGACAGGAACAGTGGAAATATTCCATTCCCGATACTTTTAGTGCAGCGGAATATTGCCCCCCCCGGGTAGTCACTTAGGTGAGCACATGTCGTTGACCCTCTTTTAAATTTTAGTGCAGCCTAGTACAAAGACTTAAGAGGTAATCAGATAATTTACTAAGTTAACCACAACTAATTAAAGTAAGTTTGTAAGTTTGTAAATTCTAATTATTTATGGGATCA